GTAATAGTACTCCCTCTTAGAATTGATATTAAATGGGTCTTTTTTTCACTAGAAATTAAACTTGCCGTGCTGCCCTTCAAACCACCTGATACTGCAGGGCTGGCTGCACGGGGAATGAGGAAAATATCCAAGCGGGGTGTGTGGGTTAGCCTGATCTTTGAAAATAACGGGAGGGAATTGTCTCCTTGCTGGCCTGGAACCTGCTGCGTGCCTCAGTTTCTCGTGGTTTCGTGCCATCCTTTCAGGCTGGAAGCCTTCAGGAGCAGGAATCGCGACCTCCATGCGGTTCCTGGCGGGCTTGAGCCCAAGGTTGTTGCGTGGAAGCGCTGTGTGCATAACGCCGGCGTGCTTGCGCCGTTGAGGCTGGCTGTGACACCCAGCTAATATTAGCTTTGGTGTCCTGCTGCCCACTTGGAAGGTAAGCGGAAGATGTATCACACGTTGTGATTTATTTTATTTTCCTTGCTGAAAGGTTGTCTCGGTAGCTTCGTGTTGGGCCCTCCGGGCAGTTGGTGTAACGGCAGCGAGCCAAGGAGATGGCTGTGAGCGTGGGAGGAGGCTGGTTGTGAAGTGGGGAGGTGATTGATGTGGTTATATGTACAGAAAGGACAGGAAACCTTCTTTTCCCTTGTTTGCCACCTTGTCTGTAACTGTAGAGTCAAGGATGTCTTTCTCCATTTTCACTTTACTTTATCTGTACTGGAAGACCTCCCAAGGGCTTGAGAACCAAAGGTTTCTCCTCCTGAGAGTAAGAACCCTTTTGCAGTGAACTTGATTCCTACAGGCTTACCAGGAGCTGATTTATGTGGGTTAATAAAAAAGGGAGGAAAAAACCCCAAACCCACAGCTCTGGCCTCCTCGTTCGAGTTTCACCGTTCTGATTTGAGTGACACGAGTGGTCCCGGGAGCTCCTTCGTCATCTGTGTTCTCCAGGGTCGGAGAGAACAAGTCCTAAAGATCTGATGTTTGAACAAGTTTCTGCTTGTTTCTGAGCTGCCCTTATTGTTCACGAGAGGCTGCCTGCCCAGCTGGTTTTTTCCTACTTCTCTGAAACTGTGCAGCAGAAAACCAGCGCAGAAGCTCTCCCAGCCCGTGTCCTGGGTAAGGACCAAAGCTCCCACCCAAGCGGTGCTGTGCATCAGGCTCGACTTAGGAAGTGTGCGCTTCAACCGAAGACTCTTTGAGGATGTTGAAATTTTTCAGATTGTTTTATCATTTGAAAAACAAACGATGAAAAAATTCAGTTAAAGGTGAAGAGTTCAGCTCTTTCCC